GCTTGATTTTTATCATTTTTGTTGTAACTATTCATTATATTTTCTATTGCTTTTGACGAGTATGGATATTGTCTAAATTGCTCAACACAATTTTTTATTCGGGTATCTTCTGGAGTTGTCGTATTATGAATGTAATCTTGGATAACATACCAAATATTCAAATGTAATAAGGCAACATTTCTTTCGTCTGTACTTCCTTTCATTAAAGCTGCACCTCTTTCTGGATTGATTTCCGCAATTTCTTGAATTAACATGGTACAAATTGTTGTGTATCTATCATCGATATCAACCCCTTTCTTGTCGACTATTTCTTCCAACATTTTCATTTGATCTTGTACGTTATCAGGTGATATCGGGGTGCTTTCTAATGTTAACTTTTCAATTAATAATTTCTCACAAAGATCTTTGATATCTTTTTGTCGTGCTATTGAATGAATCACTTTTTGTCTGAGTTGTGCCTTAAATGTCCATTGATCTTGTTCGTTATTCCAAAGTAATACTTTTTGCAAAATAAAGTTTCTCGTTTCATCCCATTTATCACCATAAACCAGGTCATTATAATTGGTTACATTAAACTTTTCACAATCAGTTAATAAAATATTCAAATATTGTGAAAAGACTGAAGGATCAAACCAGTTTTTATTTTCAAAATGAATATATTTTATTAAAGCAACTGTGAATAAAGTTTGAACATTTTCATGATTTTTTTCCAAATTTTGTAAAACTGTTAGAATTCCTTTTAGATTATTCAATACATACATTGCACCGTCTTGTTCAGCTCCTGCTAAAGATATATAATCATCTGCTCGAATGTCCATTCTTTCTTTCGGAAGGAATCGGAATTGACGTTGTTCATTTGTTCCTTTATTTTCATATATTATTGTTCTTGATATTTTTGAATTTAACGCATCACAAACCTCAAAAATTGCGTCTGAATTCAATAAACTTATTAAAACCTGTTTATTCAATTCGCCCCAAGATTGTTGAATAAATGCTTTGTAAAATCTCATATAAAGAGGATTGTAAGGTTTCCCACTAAATGAATAAATATAGAGATCCCCTAATTGAAAAGTTGCATCGAAAGCTTGATCTAACTTTCTTCCTGGGTCCATATGAAAAGCGTGTTGAACCAATTCATACAATTCTCTTGTTTCTTTATAATTCAAACATATATCATAATCTGTTGGATCAACTGGCAAATAATGACTTCTATCAAATTTAATAAATAATTCCTCAAATTTATCCGATTTTTTCTTTTTGATATCTTTTATCGAATTCATCAAATCTCCTCTTTTTTGTTGATATTCGGCATTTACATTATCTAATGTTAATCCAAGAGTATCACCAAGATGAAGTTCTTTTAAAGCTAACGTTTCTATCATTAAATGAGTATATAAAATTAATTCATTTGTTTCCTCTATTGTATTTGGATTTTCTGTAAAATATTGATGAATTGTTTGTATATTTGGTTCATCAATTCCAACTTCCTGACAAATTCTAATTAAAAATTCAAATTCTTTCTTTGCATCTTGATCTTTAAAAGTAACCGAAATTCCTTGATATTCATATGATATACTTAGAGTTTGATTTGTCATTTTTTAAACAAATAAATAATTCAAAAAAGTTTAGCTAGTAAATGGTTTATTCATTTGAATCTTCTGGTTCCTTCAAATTTAGTGGGTCAACGAAGCAATCTCGTAACCCATCGACAAATTGATTCAATACTTGTGCTTTTGATTCCAATTGGACTTTCTTTTTTTCTTCTTCTTTTTTCAAATCGTCCAATTTATCTCGATTTTCATCAATTTTTAGCTCATTTTCAACCATCATTTCCCATATCGGATCGGACTTTGGATTTTTATCAATTTCATCATTTATATAGCCGTTTTCTTCGGTGAGCCTTCGATTTTCTGATTCCAGTCTTTCAATTGTTTTCATGTCGTCGTTTAATGAATCAGCTAATTCCAATAACCTTGTTGTATCATAAATAAAGCTGCGTACTGTCTTTCTGAAAACCTTAAGACTTTGCTTATCTTGCTTCCTGCTGTACATGAAAAAAAGTGATGTGATGACCTAACGAGAAAAAATTAGATTTTTGGTAAACGGTCTCCACCCCTAAACACCTAGAGGGCACCCCTGCAACACCTCGGGCACCCCTGGGGCACCCCATAAGGGACCCAAATAAAAAATATGATTTTTCGTGCTCACCTCATCACATCATTTTTACTTATGTTCGCCATCTCCGAGTCCAACGTAGAGCCTACAGAGAACTACCCAATAGAGAACCTATCAGATCTTATCGATAAACACCCAGAAGATTTAGATTTAAATGAAGATGACTATATGTACCAGAGTTTATGCAAAATTGTAACAGCAAAAGATACACCATTCAATATTGGCCCAAAGCAAGAATTTATCAGAAATTATTATCGTGAACTTCACAAATGCATAGAAATTCGACAAAAAATGTTTGAAACAACCCTTGATATAGTCAAATGTAAATTCAATTTCGATGAAAATCTTTTTACGAGCATTTCTACCAGATTCTTTCAATTTTTCCCAAATACCACAATTGATTGGACCCTATTGGACCCTCAAAGAGGAATGTACCAATTTCTAGATTCATATGCAGAGCATTTATTTAATAGAATAGGATTTTACACAAGATGGATATACTATCCAATTGAATGCCATGCAAACGATTGCCTTTAAGTAAACCACACAATTAACAACTTTTTCTATAGCTTTTTTGATGTTAACGATACGGGACCTCCTTCCTAGCAGAGCGTTGAGAGGAATCCTGAGAGCAGCCCAGTGGAAGATCATTAATGGGAGTGGGGGATCATACCTGGCATAGCGGGGCTGGGGTCACGGATGGGAAATATTTGACGCGGTTTTTGAACGAAGTGCAAAAATCGTGGCAAATATATAACTACTAATAATGTCATCTGCACTTTCACAAATAATAAAATGTATCTTAAGCAGCTCTACAGGTCAACAACTCGATCAATGCATGAGCGGCTTTAGTACGAGAGTTTTTTATTCACTTGAACAAGAGGAACAAAAGAAAATTCAGGACGTTTTTATTGATACTGCACAGTCCATAGATTTAGTTGCTTATAGAGAAACTACTTTACTTTTTATTTTAGTTGCAGTCCTTTTAGCCTCGTTTTTGATAATTTTATTTTTCTATTGTTGCTGCATTTGCTCAAATTGCTGCAATTGTAGAACAAGAAAGAAGAAGGTACACGCTCCACCAATTAATAACACTTATTTAATTCAACCTAATCCTAATAAATAAATAGCATGTATTTCTGATTCTTTAATTCATTACAATATACTATTAACAGATTTTTCAATAACTTACTTGTTAAATAATATGAGATAATTAGCAATATATTAAAATATGATATCATACATTTCAAATAGTTTATTAAATTCTAAAGTAATATATAAGATATGCCATTACTTATCAAGTTGATTTATATTCCTATAGCCAAACCATGAAATGAAATAATATACAAATATTTACAACTTTGACATATTTTATTTATATAAGTTCTTGCTTTTGGATTATGATATGTTACCATATTTCAATTAAAAGAGATTTTTTTTAAAAAAAAGAATGGAAAAAGCAAAACTTGATTTTGTAAAATTTTATAAAATGGCAGAAAATATTTTTTATTGAAATTATATTGTCATTTTTTTTTTTTTTCAATGCTTCTAAAGTCAGAATTGGTAATTCCTTCCATCACTTTATTTAAATTTTAAAATAAAGGTTTATATAAATGGCTTCATTTCGAAACATTCTTTTTCATGATATATTGTAATGGAAGGCAATAATTTCTTTATAATTTAGATCATTAATTTTTTTAATGTATCGATGGTCAGTCATGCATTTTGGTTTTAATAATAAATTATTTAAATTAATTTAAAATACCCAATAAGGTATTAAATACATATATGAAAAATATTTTATCAAAATGATAATTTTTTTACAATTTTATGTTTAAAAAAACTCTTTTAACGTGAATTATTCATCTAACAAACCTTTTACACCAGTAATCAGTGAATTTCATTATCAAGGTATAACATTCAACAAATATATATATATATTGTTCAAAATGACCATATACCAAAAGTTGAGAATATTCAAAATTATTTGAATTCGTCATTTTCGCCAATTTTCTCGAAAAGATGATTCATGAATTCTTTGAAGTATTTGATATTTAATACCTAGATCACAGCATATGGAACTCAATTTGCAGACGCTTTTCATTTCATTGCACAAAAGAACAAGAAGAAACAGCAAGATATATAAGCGGTAAATTGATATTTGAACCAGATCTGAATAACAAATTCATAGGAATTCTCAAATGTATGAGTGAACAGACGCCAGGCAACATCATGAAAAATGGAACAATTGAAATCAAATCAAATTATGAAGGCGATTGTAGCTGTGCTCTTTAAGAATTTGGTTACTTTCTGGCCTGGCGATACCTATTACAGGTACAAAAGCAATTCCATGGCAAATATTTCATCTAAACTGATTACAAGTGAACATGGGGAACAAATAATGGGCATTTGAGGAGTTGAAGTCTGGAAGGATTTGATGAATATCGGCACAAATAGACATGAAAATGATTCAACACTTAATGGTTGTCGATATTCATCTCCATTTGAAGTCCAAAACATAATTCAACTACGTCTAGCAGGAAAAGCATGGTCTCCTGAATCAGAAACAAAATTTTGAATTAATTATATTGAATTTTATGGAACTATGAAACAAAAATGAATAAAAATATTCAATATCTTGCCATATTTTTCATATTTTTTTTTTTCTCCCATTTTTTATGACATTGACAGGATGTTATAGAAATTCATTTATTTAATAATAAAACACTGTTGATGCAAGGATTAATTATCAATGAATTATTATGCAAATTTATGCTGAGACAATTGTTGAAAGTGGGGAGGAAAAAAAAAAAAAAATGAAAAAATGGTACCCATGGGATTCGAACCCATGATAAATTGGGTTTTGAAGCCAATGCTTTAGACCACTCAGCCAAAGTAAACTGATATGCAAATTTCCGTACCATTCAATTTTCAGAGCTTTTTCAAATTTTTTTTTTATTTTTTTATACAGTGAAAATTGATAATCTATTGAAAGCATTTCAATTGAAAACTTAAATTCATAACTCAAAATTTTGAATATAGTAAGCTTGATCATAGCCCAGCAGTCAGTTTGAAACCTAATAAGGGAAATTCAATTGCAGTTAGTTCAAATATTATGTTAGTGCCTTTAAATTCGTATTTCCAAGTTCGAAAAATCCAAAATATCAAATTTATTAAAATATGTAATTTACTCCAATAAAAATGTGCATCGGTTCAATTAAATACGATCAAATTCAGTTAAAAGTTAGCAATGTTCAAATTCCATTCCAATTGATCATTTTTTATTTTTTAAAACCAAATTTCACACATTTTATTATAATGAATGCCTACTAGATATTGCAAATTCTCAGTATTCACTGATTTTCAACCTATTTTTCAGCGGTATTTTTTTTTAATTCGTAAAATTTCAACAATATACAAAAATCCTCAATTTTCATCAATTATCAAAATTTACCAATCAAGCAATTATCAAAAAGCCGCCACTCATACATATGAGGCGAAAAAAAAAATTATAATATAAAAAAAAATAAGTTTTTCATTACTATTTATAATCATATTTTTCATTTCAAAGGCAAATATAAGGATATGCACTGAGAAATATGCTACTTTTCTTATTTACTTATCCAAAATTTCAAATAATATTTTGTGAGATTTATTTTTTTCTTTCAATTTATATAAATCTTTCAATTTTTAAATGATTATTTTTTTTATTAAAAAAATAAAAATCTCAATTTTCTTTGTTGCAATTTTCCGTACCATTCAATTTCATAGAAAATTAAAAATAATTTTATGAATTTCATTCAATTTTTTGAATGGTACGGGAAAATGAAAACCAGTTTACCTTGCACTTATATATTAAAGTTTTATAGTACTTTAATAAATAATTAAGCTTGTGACAATTGCCATTCAAAAAGATAATTTCACTTTTGACAAGGTTTGTTTGCTTTTTATAAATGGAAGCAATTTTTAATGATTTTAAAAGACATTATACATCAGATCAAATTGAAATGCAAAATCCGTTGTTAAATAAATGTACCAAAGATCTAGACTTTATATTGGTTGATAATAAAGCAAATGTTAGCAACGCTATCAAAGATACAATACATAAAAGAGTCATGGAAACAGATATGATAATAATAGACCACATTAAAGTAGCCACAACCTATTATTTCACCATTTGCCTATCAAAGTTATTATTAATAATCTCTGATTCAGAATTAGCTTTTTTTTCCTCTTTTTTATGTGATCAAAAAAAGTCTGCTATTTCATTATCCCGAGTTTCATTTGATTTAATTAACAAAAATAGCATTAACTTGACAATTTCAATTGCAGATCAATATTTTCAAGATGAAGTCAGAAATTTTTCATATTTTCTACAAACAAAAGATCCATCTCTATCATCTTTTTGGAATTTAGTTAAAAATTCCATATCTGGCCATATAATCCACGAAATTCATCACAATTCATTCATTGATCGAATTGAAAATCACGATTTTTTCTTTCAATCTCAATCTGAAGACTTTTGTCTTAAGTCTGATGAGTACATCGTCCTTCGGCATTTTTATGGAGGCTCATCATCAACCGTTCAGCTGATTTATCATATAAAAAAAGAGAAATTATTTGTTTTGAAAATCATTTCAGATCCTTTTGAAAGCGAAAAATTGTCTAAACGCGAAATCAGCAACTATTCAAGTGTTCATCATCCTTATTTATGCAAGTATTATGGAATAACAGAAGTTGATTCGTATGTTGGCTTGGTTCTCGAATACATTGAAGGGCCATTGTTATCTGAAATGATTTCCAAAATCGACAAAAATTTCAAAATTAAAACAATTTTTGAAATTTTGATTGTTGTTCATTATCTTCATTCAAATAATTTCATTTATCGTGATCTAAAGCCAAATAATATAATATTAAATCGTAATAATACAATTGTGCTTATTGATCTCGATAGAATGGTTCACAATTCAAGTGAAAATGAAGTCATTGAATCATCAATTTCTTTTCATAATTACTTGGCGCCTGAAGTTCAAAATGGAGAAAAGTATTCTTTTCCAGCTGACATTTATTCAATCGGGCAAGTAATTTACAAGATGTTTGAAAATGAATTCAAAAATATGAAATTAGATCAAAAAAGTGAAGTGAATGAATATCTCAAACTTTATGAAATTTACGAGAATTGCATCAAGAAAAATCCGAGTGAAAGACCACAAATAGTTGAATTGATTGAAACTTTTTATTTGAATTATTTTTCAAAAGTTTCAAATTCGATTTCTGAAATTGAAACAATTCAAAATATCAAGGGAATGAATTCATGTTACGAATATTTGTTTTTTGTTGCCGAAAATCATCACAATGTTTCACAAAAAAGTCTCGGGGATATTTATTCAGATGGCAAAATTTGTAACAAAAATATTGAAAAAGCAATTCAATATTATTTGCTTGCTACGAAAGAAAATAACATTGAAGCTGAATTTCTTTTAGGCTATTTATATTTGAAAGGAGAATCAATTCCTCTAGACATTGAAAAAGGAATTTTTTATTCAACACTTGCAGCTGATCAGAATCATCCACAAGCACAGTTATACTTAGGAATTCTATACACATTGAATCCAGATAAAATAGATTATCAAAAGGGACTTTATTATCTCCAACTTGCTGCAGACAACAAGAAAACAGAAGCTTATTATCACATTGCTAACATGTATGATAACGGATTAGGTGTTGAAAAAGACTTTGGTATTGCGTTTCATTATTATTCACTTGCTGCAAATGAAATGGATTCCAATGCTTTACTAAGATTAGGCGAAATTTATTCAAGCGATCAATATGGTTTAAAAGACATCAATAAAGCAATTCATTATTATTCACTTGCTGCAAATAATAACGAACCTGAAGCATTATTTCAGATGGGAAATTTTTATGAAAAAGGTGAGTATGTTGAACAAAGTATTGAAAAAACAATTCATTATTACACTCTTGTTGCAGAGCATAATCATTTGGGATCACAATTTTTACTTGCTCTTTTTTACATTGAAGGAAAAGTTATACCAAAAAATCCACAGAAATGTCTTCATTATTTGACATTAGCTGCTAATCAAAATTATCCAAAAGCACAATATATTCTCGGCTATATGTACGAAACAGGTGAAGGAGTTGCAAGAAATATAAATAAAGCGCTTTATTATTATGCACTTGCATCAGATAACAATTGTTTAGATGCACATTTAAAACTTGCATCTCTTTACTTGAGCGAAGACATTATTCCTTGTGATCTTCAAAAAGCAATTTTTTATAAAACAAGAGCAGCAAATCAAAATCACGTTCTTTCACAGTACACTCTTGGAAACATCTATTTATCTGAAGAATTGGATTTTTTTGATATAGAAAAAGCTAGGCATTTTCATCTACTTGCAGCAAATCAAAATTACATGCCTGCATTTTTAGCACTAGGTGACATTTACTATAAGTACTTTTCATGTGATGATGACATAAACAAAGCAATTTATTATTATTCAGTTGCATCGAATTATAATTTGCATTATGCTCAATTTAACTTAGGCAATATTTATTATGAAGGGAATTACGTAGAACGTGACATTAATAAAAGTATTCATTATTATACTTTAGCAGCTGAAAATAATCATCTTGGTGCACTAATTGCTCTTTATCGAATTTACATCTCTGATGAAACAGGAAGACAAGATGTAAACAAAGCAATTCATTATTTATCACTTGCTGCAGCTTTAAATTGTCCATCTGCATTATTTGATCTTGGCTACATATACTATGAAGGATTTTATGTCAAACAAGACATTAATAAAGCGATTCAATATTTTACACTTGCTGCTGATTTAAATTCAACAGATGCTCAAAATAATCTTGGCTTTTTATATGTTGAAGGTCATATTGTTAATAAAGATGTAAATAAAGGGATTCAATATTATACACATGCAGCAAATCAAAATAATAAAGAAGCACTGCATAACCTTGGATGTCTCTATTATTTGGGTAAAGATATAAAGCGTGATATTAATAAAGCAATTTTTTACTTATCTAAAGCTGCAAGTCAAAATGAGCCATTATCGCATATTTTACTTGCATCCATTTATTTCACAGGAGAACATGTTCCATATGATGTTAGCAGAGCCATTTATCATTTGAAACAAGCTGCTGATCAAAAACATCCATTTGCACAATATTTTCTTGGCGCTCTTTATTATGAAGGAAAACATATTAGAAAAAACATTAATAAAGCTCTTCATTATTTATCATTGGCAACCGAACAAAATGAACCACATGCACTAACACAAATGGGATTTATTTATATGGAAGGTGAATACATTAACCAAGATATAAATAAAGCAATTAATTATTTTATTTTTGCTTCAAAGAATAATAATGATAAAGCACAGTCAACACTTGGTGTTATGTATCAATTTGGATACAAAGTTGATAGAGATATTGAGAAAGCAATTGAATATTATAAAATGGCAGCAAAGAAAGATAATTGTTTCGCATTGCATCATTTAGGTGACATTTATTTCAAAAAACAAGAAATAAATAAAGCAATTTATTATTACACTTGTGCTGCTGATAATAATCACACCAAATCGCGATTTGCATTAGCAATCATCTATCATCAAGGGAAACACGTTGAAAGAGATTTAGATAAAGCAATTCATTACTATAAAGAAGCATCTTCAATGAATGATCAATATGCTAAAAACAATCTTTCAATCATTTACAAAAACAAGAAAAACATAACATATGCAATTGAATTGTTAAATGAAGCAATCAATCAAAATAATGATGTTTTGGCTTTGTTTAATCTTGCTCACATTTATTTGTATGGTGAAATGGTTCATGTAGATATCGACAAGTCAATTGATTTGTTGCTA